CCATTAATTTTATAAGAAGGTCCAACATAGGTTGGCGTAGTTTACCACTACAGGTTTCTTCTGGTTGTTCTTCTTTTACGATATTTGAAGACAGCCGAAATTCATTTAGTCGCTTTCTTATCATCCTCGTGGTAATTTCATGAAGGACTTTTACAGCATTACGTTCCATCCGGTACATTTCAGTTAAACAGTAAAATATCTGAGGATAAAGCCATGGTCTCAATAACCTCTTCGTGGAAATTACACCCATCCTAAAAATGAGAATCATGTTTCTGGTTTGTCTCACTCTCACTTATTCTTTTCTCAAAAATTATTCTTTCATAATCGTCAAGATTGTTTAAACAATTGACGTTAATAATAATATGGCGGGATTATTTTAAGTTAACCTATTATTAGTAAATTTAAATATTAATCAGTGCCCTACCTGTGTACGTTTTTCATGTACTCTTCATTATCGCGATTGTCATTATCAAATTTCGTGCACATTGCTGTTTCTGGAATTTATGAAGTAATAATTATTGTATTTTCGTACGTCTTAAACATATAAAGTGAACTTTAACAGTCAATAACGTCAATATATAGTTGATTTTAGTCTTCACCTGCTATAATCTTTATGGTGCACTCGTAAATTAGTTGACTCACATTGGTAAAAGGTTTCGAACATTCTAAATCCAATTTTTTAACCAATTCTTCTGTTTGCCTGATGAAAACATTAGAAAACGATTTCAAAATATTAAAATGAAAGGCTGGAGTTAATATTTTTCTTCGATTTTGCCATTTCTGCCCTATGAAATGCAGATTATTTATTATTATTCAAAATATAATCGGAAAAAATGTTTAAGCATTGAGTAAGTGAGAGTATAGGTACCAATAGCTACCTGTGGATAACTAATTCGATAAGACAGTGGAATTCGTTTATTATGACTCCGTCTGTATTGACCAACCGCTTAATATGAAGTAATTGCAGCGTTAAGTTTGGTTTTCATATTAAATTCTCTATAGGAAAGTTCGAATATAGTTTAAAATGACATATCGTTTATTATAACTAATTTTCAACAAATCAAATGCGGCTATAGTGACCCAAATGATTAATAATAACATTTGCGCTCATTTTTCTGACCCTTCTTGTGTATATTGATATTACAATTCATCGTTCTTTTTCTTTTTCTGTTAATAAATATATATAATTTGCAGTTCTTCTCTCTATGAAATTAAATAAATAACCAAAATAGAAAGTTGTTTATTTTCTATGAGGCCTGCTTAGTATGACGTGTTTGTGATTTTCGTTCGATGACATTATAAGCGGATTCTACTGTATTTGATAGAGGCATTTATCTGCTTGCCAAAATTATGAAATTTTCCACAGATACGACAAAGCTGTTGTCGCATACTGGATATTAAAAAAGGGTCCTACCTGTACTTGTTACGAGACCTGTCCCTAACCAGTTATGGAGCAAATGATATGAAAAGCTTTTGTCTATATTAACTGAACTGGATAGAACTTTCTAAAATATACATATATTTGGTTGTAATACACATAAATATGTGAAGATTATTTAGAACTTGGACATTCTATACCTACCTCAATATCTTCCGGCGATGTCATACTAACAGTTGTCACATGGAATGCGAAAATTTTATAAATTGGATAAAACTCCTTTCCAAATTTTCTGAATTTTATCCAAATATTTTCTAGAATTAAAAAATTCTGCTTAGAGATACTTGTGATAATTTTTCTTAACTTACAACCAACACCATTCTTTGATAATCAAAAAACCGGCAAGTCCTTATCAGCATGTCATGAGGCCGCGAAGGCGTTTTCAACATTTGCAAACTAAGTAATCGTAATCATGTCATGAATATCAAAAGGGACTACAATTTTTCAGCAAAATTAAAAATTCGTTATGAACCTTACTAACGTATTTAACCAAACCCAAATTTGTCATAAATTAGTAAAATTTTAATTGAGAATTGTGCTAAAGATCGCAAATTAAAATAATATTTCAAATAATGATTGTGGATAGTAAGAAAGGGATGTGTGATATTCAATAATAATTACCTGGACTGTCCAACAAGTCAAACAAATTCCCAAAAACGTATAGCGAACGTGGACCTGGTATTAAAAGTATAGTCCACAAATTCTTTATTTTCCAATAAAATTTCCAGCAAATGTACCCAAACCCGACAAGGATTGCTAGGTACAAGGGAATTTTAGAACAAAAATTAAACATACTTGCACTTATTTCCAATGAAACAATTTTACTAAACATCACTGTTTCACGCAATTGGGAATTATACATAAATACATTTATTAGTATCCATATATATATATATATATATTATACAGAGTTTAACAGTGCAATGATGTGATAAACAGTACCGTACTTACGACGTAGTGTAGTTTAAATTATTTACGAGAATCTAACGCAAATGATTAGTATAGCTATACGGAAAGCCAAGATTCTCTTACAGATACATTCTGGAATTTTTCTAGAACAAAGCCAGCCCTTATAAATAACTGCCGCTAGATCACAAAAAGAATAGTTATAGTTACGAGATCATAGAAGCGATTGGGTGAGCGAGTAATTAATTATCTACTAATAATTATGACAATTGAAGATTAATTAGTAAAAATGAAAGGTAGTGGTAAATTCGGCCGCTCAGTTCAAATCTACTGAAAATGTATGTGAATTCCTACCGCAAGGGGTTGTTATCTATTATATGTATACCCATATTATAAGAGAGTATGTAACAGCATTATAATCCTCCGCGTTTAGCACTTAAGACTTGTTTTTATTGTCTGCTTGAGTACAAATCTGAAGAATTTACAATTTATTTTTAAGGGCTACGGGACCTCTTCGAACGAATTTACCACTGTAATTAATAATAACTTACTAAATTGGTCAAAAATAGATTGTTTTTATGTAGGTTTTTGATAACCTGTTTTCCTGTTTTCTACGAGAACATTATTCTCAATAAACAGTAAAGTTTTTTACTTATTCCGACTCTGCGGTCCGATTTACCTTATACTTACTACACGAGTAATACTTAGATAAACTTATTATTATTGTGACTGGTTCAGTGTCAACAAAATTCTGCAAGGTAGTACATTTTGTGCAATTAAACATCACAATTAATGATGCTAACTTTAATTAAGTTATTAGAAACGAAGTTGCAAAATTAATTAACAATTACTTTGTATATTATGAATAGAAGAAAGTTGCGTAATTTTAGATCCTTCTTTATTAATTTTTGTTATGGGATAAGACNTTCAGTAGTTTCTGCATGTGGATGCTTCAAACACAGATCTCGTTCACAATTCAAGCTTTTCAAAAATTGATCGTATGACTTCACTGGGTTTTTATAGATGGGATAGAAGCCAAATAATTATTTCAAGTCAATATATGCGCCTGAATTATTTCTGCAATTATGAAATCTTCGACAAATTGTCCGAGGCAGCAAAGAATGCCCATAGCCGTTTCCTAAATAAATGCAATTCAAAATTCTCTTTCACGTACCCTAATGGCAAATTAGAACCGAACATAAGGATATTCCATTACATGCAATCGTCAAAGGGAGGTATCATCTTTTGATAAATACCACGTAGTATAGTATTTTCATTTAAATAATAAAATAACGTAGGTTCAACAAATACAATTTGAAGCTTTCGGATGATGTTACGCTTTGTTAAAAAGATTTTAAGACTGGTTAGTTAAGGACACTTTTCAGAGAAGCAGATGATATTTTCAGATGTACATAGTTGGAAAAACATATTCCACCCGTTTAGCTCATTAAACATTTTTGTATAGCAACAAAAAAGCGACATTCTTTTCGCAATTGGTTTTTACTTGGTCCTTATTCAAGCGGATTTTGATAGCTGGCGGTGCTAACTCGACACGCAATAAAAAAAACTAAAGGCGAAAGAAAAAGTTTTTTGTTTCACGACAGGTTTACTACAAGTAATCTACTTTTGCGCTTTTGAAATTTTTAATTGGTAATGCTAACGTAATGGACATCACTAATGTTTTAAATCTTGTGATCGAAAGTTCAACCCAAAGAAGTATTTCCTTCAATTTTCCATGTTTTAGACAATGATAAAATGTTTAAAGAACTAAATTCAGTAACAGCAGTAAGAAAAGCCCACAATCTGACAAAGAAAGTGAAAAACAAAATATTTATGTGCAATTTTGCAATACTATGAACAGGCAAATGGCTGTGCCAAAACTGAATGTTGAAATTAACCACGAAGTTAAAGTGACAAAGTATTTTAACGACACAATGGTCTTTTCGGCACACAATGACTTCTTCAAGTGAAAGAAATACTAAACACAGCCAATATGTGATGAAATGATCATTGGAGGTAATAAAATATTTTACAAATTTAAGATGGTGTTCAATACGAACTTAACAAGAACTTGAAGTTTCTTCGATTTAAAACGAGTTCGTAAAATGATTAAAGTAAAAGGTGAATAAATATGAAAGTTGTTAACTATCTTTCAGATTATTTTTATGTAGATTGATAAATCTTAAGTTCTGTCAAATTAAATTTCTGAACGCAACCATAATATTTGACATTTGTCAACTAAGTTTATTTTATACAAAAATTTAGGTCTTTTATATATCGATTGGGGCAGTACGAAGTCTGCCGGGACAGCTAGTATGAAATATTAATGTAAAAATTCATTTTCAATTTTTTACTTACTATAAACTACCTTAGGTTAATGAGAGACAATTTGTTGCTGTTGACCCGGGTTCGATTCCCGGCGAGGGTGTGTGGCTAAAAAATTAAAAATTAATTTTCACATTAGAGGTCCTTCTCCTAACAGGTATATCGCCTTGTTAAAGTCCCAATAACCGTTTGAAGCAAAATTCAATTAATTAAACAATTAAACATTCCATAAAAACTGATATATTATATTTTATTTTTACTTTTGTTTGCCATTACAATCATTATAGATATAATAAAAAGTGTTCTAGTGTTAATCGCCCAAAGACTAAACTTATAGTAAAAACTGTAACAACAACAATATCGAAAGTAGCTTAGCCTACCACTATAGTCTTTCAAATTTAACTTTGATTTCATTTTTTGTTCTACTCACAAAATCTGCAACATGTATAAGGGTGTCGGGAGTATCTACAGCTGTCAACCGAAAACTTCGTACGACCCCTGCAAGTATGGCTTTCATTTCCAACATTGCGAATTTTTGACCTAACAAAAATTATTTCTTTTGAATATGTCAATTACGTAAAGATTTTTCATAATACAGTGAAAACTCTATATAACGACACTTAAGGGACTGAACATTTTTCGGCGTTATAAAGAGTGGTCGTTAATTGGAGAGAAATAAAAGATATTATTTTACTATTCTATAATAATATGCATTTACCAATATAGTACACATTTTGCACACGAACATTATTATTCATACATTGCGTATAGTCTGTTATCTTCGTCTGATGTTTTTTACTGCTCCAATGTTTTAATTGTATTTTGTTACGTATCTTACTCATATCTTGAGATACTGCTGGATCAACTTGTTTATATAAAAAGTATTTTTTTAATAGTTTCGCTGCATCAAGTGCTTGTTTGATGCTTCGTGGAGGGACAGGATCGTATTCTTCAACAAAGTACACGGCTACAGTTCTTATCTATTTCGGCAACTTAGAAAGTACTGCTTAATGATTTATAATGCCGCAATGTTGTCGTTAAATAGAGTGAGCGTGACGCTATATAGAGTGTAATATTGTATAGAAAACAATGTAAACCGACCAAAGTCAAGCAATTTCGACGTTTTAAGGAGTTTGTCGTTAAATCGAGTGACGTTATAAAGAGTTTACACTGTATTTAACGTATACCTATGCAGTTCCTTGGTCCTGCACTAAAAGGAATATAAGCGAAAGGATGTCGATGCTTCGTAGCTTCCGGTAAAAATCTGTCAGGATCAAATCTGTAAGGGTCAGGCCATAATTCTTCATTCAAATGAAGATCCACAATGTGAATGTATACTTCTGTGTCTTTTGGTAGATAAAAACCCGAAGCAGTAGTAATAGGTTCATCTAATCTTCTGCTTATTTGTGGTACACTCGGATACAATCTCAGAGATTCCTTAATGAACATTTCCATGTACGATAATCCTTGTAGATCCTTAAACGTTATTTTATTATTTGCATTACCGAAAACTTCCAGGACTTCCTCTCGAACTCTGTTCTGACAAAAACAGAACATTTTACAGTTATTATTGGTTTCATTTACTCCTTTTTACTATTATTTAAAGCGAATCAATTAGTTTCGATGTTTCGATGAGTACCAAATTTATTGTTCAACTTAAAATTAAATTGAGCAAAAGCTAACAGAAACAAACCTGTATTTCTTGATGACATGCTAATAGCATTAAAGAGAAGCCGAGTGATGTAGCAACTGTATCATGACCCTGTAAACAAAAACTTCAGATAATGATATCGATATTTTTTTTTATTTACTCCAAACATAAAAGTATCAACTTCTTCGCGAATACCATGCTCATCTATGTTCCCATTTTCAACCATTAATTTTATAAGAAGGTCCAACATAGGTTGGCGTAGTTTACCACTACAGGTTTCTTCTGGTTGTTCTTCTTTTACGATATTTGAAGACAGCCGAAATTCATTTAGTCGCTTTCTTATCATCCTCGTGGTAATTTCATGAAGGACTTTTACAGCATTACGTTCCATCCGGTACATTTCAGTTAAACAGTAAAATATCTGAGGATAAAGCCATGGTCTCAATAACCTCTTCGTGGAAATTACACCCATCCTAAAAATGAGAATCATGTTTCTGGTTTGTCTCACTCTCACTTATTCTTTTCTCAAAAATTATTCTTTCATAATCGTCAAGATTGTTTAAACAATTGACGTTAATAATAATATGGCGGGATTATTTTAAGTTAACCTATTATTAGTAAATTTAAATATTAATCAGTGCCCTACCTGTGTACGTTTTTCATGTACTCTTCATTATCGCGATTGTCATTATCAAATTTCGTGCACATTGCTGTTTCTGGAATTTATGAAGTAATAATTATTGTATTTTCGTACGTCTTAAACATATAAAGTGAACTTTAACAGTCAATAACGTCAATATATAGTTGATTTTAGTCTTCACCTGCTATAATCTTTATGGTGCACTCGTAAATTAGTTGACTCACATTGGTAAAAGGTTTCGAACATTCTAAATCCAATTTTTTAACCAATTCTTCTGTTTGCCTGATGAAAACATTAGAAAACGATTTCAAAATATTAAAATGAAAGGCTGGAGTTAATATTTTTCTTCGATTTTGCCATTTCTGCCCTATGAAATGCAGATTATTTATTATTATTCAAAATATAATCGGAAAAAATGTTTAAGCATTGAGTAAGTGAGAGTATAGGTACCAATAGCTACCTGTGGATAACTAATTCGATAAGACAGTGGAATTCGTTTATTATGACTCCGTCTGTATTGACCAACCGCTTAATATGAAGTAATTGCAGCGTTAAGTTTGGTTTTCATATTAAATTCTCTATAGGAAAGTTCGAATATAGTTTAAAATGACATATCGTTTATTATAACTAATTTTCAACAAATCAAATGCGGCTATAGTGACCCAAATGATTAATAATAACATTTGCGCTCATTTTTCTGACCCTTCTTGTGTATATTGATATTACAATTCATCGTTCTTTTTCTTTTTCTGTTAATAAATATATATAATTTGCAGTTCTTCTCTCTATGAAATTAAATAAATAACCAAAATAGAAAGTTGTTTATTTTCTATGAGGCCTGCTTAGTATGACGTGTTTGTGATTTTCGTTCGATGACATTATAAGCGGATTCTACTGTATTTGATAGAGGCATTTATCTGCTTGCCAAAATTATGAAATTTTCCACAGATACGACAAAGCTGTTGTCGCATACTGGATATTAAAAAAGGGTCCTACCTGTACTTGTTACGAGACCTGTCCCTAACCAGTTATGGAGCAAATGATATGAAAAGCTTTTGTCTATATTAACTGAACTGGATAGAACTTTCTAAAATATACATATATTTGGTTGTAATACACATAAATATGTGAAGATTATTTAGAACTTGGACATTCTATACCTACCTCAATATCTTCCGGCGATGTCATACTAACAGTTGTCACATGGAATGCGAAAATTTTATAAATTGGATAAAACTCCTTTCCAAATTTTCTGAATTTTATCCAAATATTTTCTAGAATTAAAAAATTCTGCTTAGAGATACTTGTGATAATTTTTCTTAACTTACAACCAACACCATTCTTTGATAATCAAAAAACCGGCAAGTCCTTATCAGCATGTCATGAGGCCGCGAAGGCGTTTTCAACATTTGCAAACTAAGTAATCGTAATCATGTCATGAATATCAAAAGGGACTACAATTTTTCAGCAAAATTAAAAATTCGTTATGAACCTTACTAACGTATTTAACCAAACCCAAATTTGTCATAAATTAGTAAAATTTTAATTGAGAATTGTGCTAAAGATCGCAAATTAAAATAATATTTCAAATAATGATTGTGGATAGTAAGAAAGGGATGTGTGATATTCAATAATAATTACCTGGACTGTCCAACAAGTCAAACAAATTCCCAAAAACGTATAGCGAACGTGGACCTGGTATTAAAAGTATAGTCCACAAATTCTTTATTTTCCAATAAAATTTCCAGCAAATGTACCCAAACCCGACAAGGATTGCTAGGTACAAGGGAATTTTAGAACAAAAATTAAACATACTTGCACTTATTTCCAATGAAACAATTTTACTAAACATCACTGTTTCACGCAATTGGGAATTATACATAAATACATTTATTAGTATCCATATATATATATATATATATTATACAGAGTTTAACAGTGCAATGATGTGATAAACAGTACCGTACTTACGACGTAGTGTAGTTTAAATTATTTACGAGAATCTAACGCAAATGATTAGTATAGCTATACGGAAAGCCAAGATTCTCTTACAGATACATTCTGGAATTTTTCTAGAACAAAGCCAGCCCTTATAAATAACTGCCGCTAGATCACAAAAAGAATAGTTATAGTTACGAGATCATAGAAGCGATTGGGTGAGCGAGTAATTAATTATCTACTAATAATTATGACAATTGAAGATTAATTAGTAAAAATGAAAGGTAGTGGTAAATTCGGCCGCTCAGTTCAAATCTACTGAAAATGTATGTGAATTCCTACCGCAAGGGGTTGTTATCTATTATATGTATACCCATATTATAAGAGAGTATGTAACAGCATTATAATCCTCCGCGTTTAGCACTTAAGACTTGTTTTTATTGTCTGCTTGAGTACAAATCTGAAGAATTTACAATTTATTTTTAAGGGCTACGGGACCTCTTCGAACGAATTTACCACTGTAATTAATAATAACTTACTAAATTGGTCAAAAATAGATTGTTTTTATGTAGGTTTTTGATAACCTGTTTTCCTGTTTTCTACGAGAACATTATTCTCAATAAACAGTAAAGTTTTTTACTTATTCCGACTCTGCGGTCCGATTTACCTTATACTTACTACACGAGTAATACTTAGATAAACTTATTATTATTGTGACTGGTTCAGTGTCAACAAAATTCTGCAAGGTAGTACATTTTGTGCAATTAAACATCACAATTAATGATGCTAACTTTAATTAAGTTATTAGAAACGAAGTTGCAAAATTAATTAACAATTACTTTGTATATTATGAATAGAAGAAAGTTGCGTAATTTTAGATCCTTCTTTATTAATTTTTGTTATGGGATAAGACCGTTTTTTAATCATTCTTTTATGCTTAATTAAGATGTGCTATCGTTTTATTGTTTTTTTTTTACAGTTTCAAATAAAATTGCTGAAGAAATTAAATGCACATTTAGACAAGTACATACATATAAATTAAGTTTATTACGTAATTGCATTTTATATTGTTTCAAATTGTCCATTAATTTCATTCTTTGATTTTCATACAATTTGCATTGACAAGCTACATCTTATTTAATATATTCTGAGTACGTGCAAGTCAGATTGTTTATAGCATTTAATATTGTAATAGTTTATTCTAGATTTTCATTCTCTAAAATCGTTATTCAGACTATTACCAACATTTTTTTTAGAAATATTAGCTAAATTAGCCCAGCCGTTCTGAACAACATTTAATTTTTCTTTATGTAGATGGATTGCTAGTATGTATTATCACAAATAGAGCTGACTTTCTAAAACACTGAGCTTTTGGCAGTTTGTTTGAGGCATCATTGTAATTTATTTTTTAGATAGATTCGATAAATTTGCATAAGCAAGACTTCAAGCTGTAGTAATATACGTCTGACCTCATTTCTATCTGGGTTTTGTATAGGTTTTTCCAATCTGATGGTTAAACATCGTATCTACTAATACAATTCGTTATAAATGTCAAACAATGATAATTTATATTGAATGTCTATTATCTGTAACATTTCGGATATTAATATCGTTCAGTCGTAGGGAAGTATTCTCTAAAGCTACGGTGAATTTCGTGAAGTTAAATAAATGATCCAAGTAAGAATTCGTTTCCAAGAGAATTTTGAATCAACTGTAGAACTATAAAAATCAAGGGTGGACACGTTTTATTAATTTCGTTCTATTAGTTTCATCAATTTTTACTCAATTATTTTTGAACGTTCACTAGAATAATTTACTGGTAACCGGCAAGAAGTTTTCGAGGGTAATTTAGGTAGACTAGTTATATAATTAAGCATTTGACGAGAATAGATATATTTTATTTTTACTTGTTTATACTACTAGTAACCACACAAAGACCATAACAACAACAACAGCATCAAAACTAACTAGCACTATAGTCTTTCAAATTTAACTTTGATTTCATTTTTTGTCCTATTCACTAAATCCACAACATGTATGAGGCTGTCGGGTGTATCTACAGCTGTCAACCGAAAACTTCGTACAACACCCGCAAGTAAGGCTTTCATCTCCAACATTGCGAACTTTTGACCTAACATAAATTATTTTTATTAAATATGTCAGTTACGTAAAGATTTTTCGTATTATATAGATATACAAAACTACCTATGCAGTTCCTTGGTCCTGCACTAAAAGGAATATAAGCGAAAGGATGTCGATGCTTCGTAGCTTCCGGTAAAAATCTGTCAGGATCAAATCTGTAAGGATCAGGCCATAGTTTTTCATTCAAATGAAGGTCCATGATGTGAACGTTTACTTCCGTATCTCGTGGTAGATAGTAGCCTGAAGGAGTAGTAACAGGCTCGACTAATCTTCTGCTTATGAATGGTACACTTGGATACAATCTCAGAGATTCTTTAATGAACATTTCCATGTATGATAATCCTTGTAAATCCTTAAACGTTATTTCATTATTTGCATTACCGAAAGCTTCTAGGACTTCCTCTCGAACTTTGTTCTAATAAAAATATAAAATTTTTACAATTGATGCATTTCTAACAAACTTATTTTATATCGCTACATACTATAAAAAAAGTCGCTTTTCCGCTGTCTGTCCCTATGTATGCTTAAATCTTTAAAACTATGCAATGGATTTTGATGTGGTGTTTTTTAAATGATAGAGTGATTAAAGAGGAAGGTTTATATGTATAATACATGCATAATATAGTAGGAAAACACTGATAATTTTGAGGTTTCTAATGTGATGTAAATAAACACATTTTTTGCGCTTACATTGCAAACGCTGGCTGAACCCTACGAGATAGATCAAAATAATATACTACAGTATTGTACACCTTAAAAAGGTCTACAAAAAAGTCCGGGATGGTATATGTCTATCTCTTAGGGATAACCCACAATAACCATTTTTTATCCTTTACTTTTTACGAGAAATAATGGCTTATTTACGAAGCGATTTTAAGCAATACAGCATTAATCCTTATCCAATTAAGTACTTTTAAATACATTGTGCATTTAATATAGATCAATATGGCCCTTTACAGCATCTAATTTAAATGAATATTTTCGAAGATATTACAGATTTAAAATGCAGGGACATAGCGGTTGCGGCGGTACCGACCGGGAGGCCAGTTTGTATTGTCTAATGACAAAAAAACTATGAATGTTGTATATAAAGACATTCTGTAGTATATTTAGTATGTTCAGGGGGTATCTTTTGAAGATTTCCCCTTTTCGATAATAATCTAAACAAAACAAAAATATATTTAGTATCAGCATTGCACCCGTGCGGAGCTGGGGCGGGTCACTAGTTTTAAACAAAATTGGTAAAAAAATCGATAGCAACAAACCTGTATTTCTTGATGGCATGCCAGGAGCATTAAAGAAAAGCAGAGTGATGTAGCAGTAGTATCATGACCCTGTAAGTAAAAAACCAATGGAATTAGGATTGAATAGAATGTTGAAATATAATTGAATCAAACAATACCGAAATTGACTTTAATTTTCAAATTTGAGAAAAATATGTAGGTTCAAAATTTGTTGATGTAAAATTCTCAGAATCGAGACAGGTTAATTCTTGAAACACAAGGGTCTGTCCGCGTTTTCCCATCCGCAGTGATTGAAAGTTCGTTGGACACTGAATGAAACATACATTCGTTTTTAATTAACACAAACCGAAATGTAATTATTGTAAACAGTATATAATAGAAGAATAATCAATAATAAGAAATAACCGGGTTTGTATTTAACAATTATTAAAATGCACGGCAGTTGTTCTGGATATAAGAATAGAAAAAATTGATAGAATATTTTCTAATACACATATAGGTTATATTTATTTACTTATTCAAATATATGAAAAGGTAATTAACTTTCAAGCACTACGAATATTTAAATGTACGTCACTGTTTATACGCGAAAGCTGTTTCGTTTCTGAGAATTTTATATGAAAAAACAGGCTCTATCATTTATAACATATTGATTGATTGTAATATTTCTTTTAATTACTTCAAACATAAAAGTGTCGACTTCTTCACGAATACCATGCTCGTCTATGTTGCCTTCTTCAGTCATTGTTTTTATGAGAAGATCCAACATTGCCAGTCGTGTTTTCCCGCCATAACATTCGTCTGATGGTTGTTCTTCTTTCACGACGCTCGATGATAACCGAAATTCTTTTAATCGCTTTCTAATAACTCTAGTTGTAAAGTCGTGAAGTGCTTTTACAGCAGCGCGTTCCATCCTGTACAGTTCAGTTAAACTGTAGAATATTTGAGGGAAAAGCCATGGCCTTAAAAGTCTATTCATAGAAATGTTGCCCATCCTAGAAATGAGACCAAGTTTATGGTTTCAGCTTTTCATGAAGAAAAAATGGATGATATTTGAATGTGTTCAAAATTGTATAACAAATCGGCGTTAATAATCTAGCGCAATTATACTCTTTTGCAAACTTTTTTCACATTTTGTTGATTAGGGAGTCAGACAAGGATGCACACTTTTCAATCTGTACATCGAAGACGCGATCAACATCATTAAATACAGTAAAACTAGGGATAGATATAGAGGGTCAAAAGGTTAGTAGAAGTTGTTGATTTTAGGTATCTAGGTCGGATAAGTCAGGACGAAAGTAATAAGAATATAGAGCAGAGGATAGCGACGGTCGAGTCGCCTTCAATAAAAAAAGTGGCTTGTGTGCTCGTAAACGGTTAATTTAGAAATTCAAAAAAGATTGTTAAAAGTGTATGTGTGGAGCACGGCGCTGTACGGGTGCGAACTATGGTCGATGGGCGCGGCGGAAAAGAACGGGTTAGAAGCGTTCGAAATGGTGTGTTTCAGGCGAATGATGAGGATACCGTGGATAGAGAAGGTTAGAAATGAGAGGTATTAGAAATAATGGGAGAACAGAGGACTCTGTGGAAGTCAATAAGGAATAGGTGAGATAGGTTGGTAGGACACCTTCTCAGGCATGAAGGACTAGTTAGAGACATATTAGAGGCAGAAACGGAAGTTAAGAGGGGTAGAGGTGGACCTAGATTAGATTACTGTTCGCAAATTGTTAAGGATGTGGCGTGTTCTAGTTTTAGGGAAATGCGATGATTAGCTCAGGATAGGAAGGAGTGGAAGTGCGTGTCCAACCAGTCTTAGGACTGACGATTTTATAACGATGATCAAAATTTCAGACTTAGATTTGAGAGACAGGTTGTTAACTTAATCATTATCGTACCTGTGTATGTTTTTTATATATTCCTTCTCATCTTGATTGTCGTTATTCATTTTGGTCCCCATTGCTGTTTCTAAAAGTTATAAAATACCTATTTACAGTATTTGGTACTTTCTCAAAGTATACTATAAAAGTATCAGTAGACTTATGTATATGACATGCTCTGAATGAGCACGATGATATTGTCATTAATGTGCTCAATTAATGTTAATGAAAATGAACCTACAAAAACTAATTTTAGATGTAATGGCTAACAACAGAAATGTGTAGTTAATTAATTGTTTTTACCTGCTATAGCCTTTAGGGTAAACCTGTAAATTAAGGGAACCACGTTGGTATAAGGTTTTGAGCATTCCAAATTCAATTCTTTTACTAATTCTTCTGTTTCCTTGACGAAAATGTTAGAAAACGATCTCAAAATGTTAAAATGAAAGGCTGGAGTCAGTATTTTTCTTCTGGTTTGCCATTTTTGGCCTATAAGTAAATTTGAAAAATGATTAATCAATAGCTTAATAACTTAATAAAAGTTTTACCTTCACTTGTTAAGAGACCTGTCTCTAGCCATTTGTGAAGCATAAAATATGAAAATCCTTTGTTTATATTGACTGGACTAGATAAAACTATCTAAAACACAAACTATTTTATTTTTATCATTGTCTGCAAATACGCAAGAGTATTTGGAATTTGATCATTCCATACCTCAATATCTTCTGGTGATAGCAAATTAACTGCTGTCAGATGGAATGAGAAAATCCTATAAATTGGATAAAATTCTTTTCCAAATTTTCTCAATTTCATCCAAATGTTTTCTAGAATTAAAATGTTTTAGTTCTTTGTGAGTTTAAGCAAACCCTATCCCATAAATAATAAATGTTGTAACTCTTGTTTTGGATTTTCATCTCCGTTTTGAAAACGCTACCTAGGTACGTACCAGGAGAATCCAAAAGTTCAAATACATTTCCAAATACAAATAGAGCACGAGGACCCGGTATTTTTCTTACAATTATTATCCGTTTAATTCTATCGTATATTTTCCGGCTTATGTATGCAAAACTGATGAAAATTATCACATAAAAGAGCGTCGGAAAAATAGAAAACATCACTTTTCACTTTTACCTTTACACTTTAACTTATAGAATTGTAACGTACGTATTACGCATTACGTACCGTCAATTGTGAAGGAGATTTAATAATAAATAAAGTGCCTACCCATAAAATGTTTATATCTTATTACATATGTATGCAGCAACGATTTTAAAAGATTATCAACCATCTGTATGCAACTGATATGATCGGAATGTGTTTTGTTCATCCTTTTTGTTATTAGAATATGTCTTATAAAGCAATATGTAATATTACCTTTTTGTTTTGAAGGTAAGGTGTTTAATTGATAGTTTATATTCATTTTCCTCGTTAGTCTTGACGACACAAAACATGGGTGTAAATATTTCTTTGTTAAACTGTGAAGGTGAATCAAAAATTACATAAGCATATCTACTAAATTTACCGCGTTGTAGTTGCTGATTTTTTAATGATTTTTTACGTGTTAACTGCACATTAAATAATAGTAAGTAACTGCAAACTTATTACAAAATTATAATTTCAGGAACACTAATTGCAAACCATGCAACATCTTTGACCTTAACATCTACTTTATAACCAATTTGCGTTTTAAAATTAAACAAAATAAAACGAAAGAAAATTTTAAAAGGTTTCAGCTTCAGTACTACACCTAACTAAAAGAGGATGCAGGACAGATGGAATTTTAAATTATGTTTTATTTTATGTGTACCACAGTTCGCAAATTAAAATAATAATTCAAAACAAAATTACGGATGGTAAAGAAGCAGTGTGGTGTAATATCTAGTAACAATTACCTGGTGTGTCCAACAAGTCAAACAGATTCCCAAAAACGTACATCGAACGTGGGCCTGGTATTAAAAGTATAGTCCAAAAAGCCCTCATTCTCCTATAAACCTTGTTGTAAATATATTTAAACCCAACGAGGATTGCTAGGTATAATAGGACCATTTCAGAATTAAAGTTATACATAGTTGCACTTATTTTTGCAATGCAACACTTGCTATCACTTTTTCACGAGAATGGGAAATGCAAATACTTTAATGCATTTATGAAGTCATGGCAGTCGTTATTTATTACTATTCGTACATAGTTTAACTATCTGGGCAATGTAAATGGACAGAGTCGTATTGTCGCATTTGCTTTCTTCTTTCAACTTCAACTATAACTAGATTAGAGCAGTTGTTGATAGAACGTCTATTTTTACTCACTACAGAAGTTGTAGGGAGGGAATATCGTGAACATAGAAAAGAGATGCCAGGTAGGAATTGCAGCGGACACTATTAAAGAAAAAGAAAGAAGAAAGACATGCAGACAAGCAGAATTGGAGCATGTTATCAGCATCGGACTTTAAAGAAAGTTCAACATTCTCAGGAATTCAGAAAGATATAATTCTAACCAGGCATTTATAAACCCGACCCTGACCTTTTACGTAGGTACCTAAGCTAAACTTCTAACCGCTGCACTGTTTACTATTATTCGGTTATCTCTTTTTACTTTGTCTATACTACTAATGAAGCACTTCCTGTCTTAACAAGGGTATGCTCAAAACGCAGCAAATAACTACAATCCCAAGTGTAATCAAGGAAAAAGATACGTCTATTAACTATAGTTAAAATTTCCCACAAATTGTAGTACCTACTAGGTATCCTGTAGTCAGTTGTAATGTTGAAGTTGAATAAGCATATGAATTTATAAAGTGTTTCATATTTTGTATTTTCACTGAATGTAGTAAAATTTTTACTTATTCCGCCTCTGTGGACCGATGTATATACAGCACAAGCAATATTTAGATAAGATTATTATTGCACTGCATTCAGGGTCTACAACATTATGCAAGATAGTTTATTTTGTATAATTAAGAATCACAATTAATAAGTTTAATTAATTAATAGTTAGCGCTGTAAAAAAACAAAAAGTGCGTGTCCAACCAGTCTTAGGACTGACGATTTTATAACGATGATCAAAATTTCAGACTTAGATTTGAGAGACAGGTTGTTAACTTAATCATTATCGTACCTGTGTATGTTTTTTATATATTCCTTCTCATCTTGATTGTCGTTATTCATTTTGGTCCCCATTGCTGTTTCTAAAAGTTATAAAATACCTATTTACAGTATTTGGTACTTTCTCAAAGTATACTATAAAAGTATCAGTAGACTTATGTATATGACATGCTCTGAATGAGCACGATGATATTGTCATTAATGTGCTCAATTAANTACAACTATTCTATTACTGATGGATCCTTGCTAAGTTCAACATTCTTACTATTAACTATTTTCCATTTTATAACAGGGAATAAAAAGCTCTAACACAAGGGTCACTGTTTTTAAAACGTATAGAATATGAATGCAGTAAGGTTTTACAGATATTTAATCGAATTTCCAAATTTGGGGTTAAAACAAAAGATAATTGCAACACATTTTATAGTAGAAGAGTGGTAAGCAATTTCGTCAGTTAATTTATCCAAGAGTACATACTTGTGCACCAAAATAATATAGCGAAAGGGATTTTTCTTTTCTGAAATATTGCCCTAACAGTTCTAAGAAATCGCGTTCGAATTTTAATGTAGAAGAAAGGGAGAAGTGACTTGTGAAATTGAATGAAATATGGATACTTCTCGAGATCGAACGTTTCTTGGAAAACCTTGCAAGAGCAGAAGGTGAAGTTGTTATTGAAAACAATATCAAAAGAATAAGAATTAACTTCTTAAAGCTCTTCAGTAATCTCATTTCATTTAGGATGAACACTTAAGAATTTTTAAATTTTTAAAATATTAATACAAACAGGACCGTTTTATGCTTTTCGGTAACCATTAAATATTAATATTAAGACTTTCTAGTTTGTATTTTATTAATTTCACTTCTGTAACCCTGGAACATATAGTTATGATTAAAGTAAGACTAATAGCATTACTGTTCCAGACATGCTTATTAGGTCTTGTTCTTCATAACCGTGCTCAAATACTTCCAATCTTGGTTTTGGTCTTGCTCATGTCATCTGATACTCCTTATCTTATAGTAATTTCTCTAAACCTAAATTTCGTCCAATCTTGGTTTTGGTAGGACACTTTTTCTAGTCAGAGACATATTAGAGGCAGAAACAGGATTTAGGAGGGGTAGAGGTAGACCTAAGGATGTGGGTTGTTCTAGTTTTAGGGAAATGCGAAGATTAGCTCAGGATAGGAAAGAGTGGAGGTACGTGTCCAACCAGTTTTAGGACTGACGACCTTATGATGATGATGATTGGTGTTGCATTTTCGAAAGACCAAGACTGAAAAGTTAAGACTAATTTTACTCATCACTACAAACATAAAAGTGTCGACTTTTTCTTGAATCCCAGTTTCGTCTATCTGCTCATCTTTTATAAATCCATTTATGATTATTAGATAGAATTAAATTTTGCATACAATCATTTGGCTTATCAACTACATCTTCTATTTTAATGCCCATGGCATCTTCCGAAATAGGTGAAATACATCTTTCACCGTTTCCCAGAGGGTGAAAACCAATTTTAACATTTTAAATTTTATCTTATTAAGTTAAGAACATATCTGCAACGGATGTAAGCGTAGTTTTTAAAATTATTCGGACTATATACGTATCTGTTACCACTTTTACACATTTCTGCTCTAATTTCTTTCGGGTTGCTTCAAAAAATATCCACAAATTCAGCAATGAAACGTTGGTATTAGAGTTTTACAACTCTTTGCTATTTACTATCTGTAACGATCCAAGTATTTCATAAAAATTAAAAATAAAGCGATGATTATTTTCCGATATCATTTCGCAGTAGATTCATAATTAAGATTGATATGACTCGCCGGTACTAGTTAATAATCCGTGTTGTAGCCAATTACGAAGAGGCTCGTAAATAATTGGACCTTTTTCAATGTTCACTGCGCTGGACAGGACAATCTAAAAATTTTTAACGAAGGAACAAGGATATATAAAGCGAAATGATTAATGAATTCTTTTACTCCCATATCCTCTACAGTTAACAAGCACACACAATTCATATGAAAATCCCAAAACCGTTAAATGTGATAACACTCGTTACCACATCTCCTGAAAAATAACCAAAGTTCACCTGAAACAGCTTTAAGAAGAACTTTCTTAATTTAATAAACTGAGTAGTAACTGAATAGGTCGTCGGTAGGAGTAGGTACCGTATATATTTTGTAATATCTAGGAAGTCAGATAAGAAGTAGTAAGGAGATAAAGCAGAGGATAGCGCAGGGTCGTGTCGCCTTTAATAAAAAGAAGTCACTTCTATGCTCGCAAACGATTAATTTGGAAATTCGAAAAAGGTTGTTAAAGATGTATGTTTGGAGCGCGGCGTTGTACGGGTGCGAATCATGGACAGTGGGAGCGGCGGAAAAGAAAAGGTAGTGTTATAGGCGAATGATGAGGATAACGTGGATAGAAAAGGTTAGAAATGAAGAGGTATTAGACAGAATAGAAGAACACAGGACTCTATGGAAGTCAATAAGAAATAGGCGAGATAGGACACCTTCTCAGGCATGAAGATCTAGTCAGAGACATTAGAGGTAGAAACAGGAGTTAGGAGGAGTAGAGAGGTAGACCTAGATTAGATTACTGTTTCGCTAATAGTTAAGGATGTAGGTTGTTCTAGTTTTAGGGAAATGCGAAGTTTAGCTCAAGATAGGAAAGAGTGGAGGTACGTGTCCAACCAGTCTTAGGACTGACGATCTTATGATGATGATTAAAAAAAGAGTGCCGGACGATCGACCTCACAATGGTGAAATTACGAGGTATAAACTCATAATCATAAGAACATAACAAACGTATAATATTATTATAAATACTTTCACTATAGTGCATCAAAATCTAACTTATACGAGCAGTTAAAATTGATAACTTTATCAACAACTTATCAAACAGACATTGATATGGCAAAATCCATGTTTTTTTAACAAAAACAGGAACTATTTTATTTTGATGTAATATAGGTCAAGCAATTTGACAAAATGATGCAAATACACATTTTGAATTGTCCAGAAAATGTCAAAATAAAACGGAAAATCAGGATTTGGTTAAGTTGGTTTATTACCGCTCTGAAAAGTTGTTAATTTTGTCAAAAATGTTTAATGATGTAGACATATGAGTTGTAGATTTTAAAAGCGTTTTATAAGATCGAGTAACCCAGTTCGTAGTCGAAGAGGGTTCTTAATCTTTTCTGAAACGGTTGTTTTCGTGTCAGAGAAATAGACGTTGAAATTACTTGTTCAAACTCACCCAACAACACATGCATCAATCTTGTAAATGAACAACCCGGGGCAAAGTAATTTCTAAACTATTCCACTAACTTGAGTTGCTCTGTCTCTTAATTACAGCTTTGATATTTTGGAACAGCCACTTGCCTCTAAACTGCCAAGATTGACTTGCAATAACTTCTACTCTCGCACTATCCAAAATGTAATTGAATTTGTACAATTTCAAATAAGTGCTTGGTTAATTTGGGCGAGTAAACTTAAAAAGACCAGAGTCCTTTTTATGACATTTGACGTAGTAATAAATGAACAAGAAATGAGCCAGATAGGTTGGTATAGAGACACTATTCTCAGGTATGACGAGCTGACTAGATAGAGACATATAAGAAGCAGAAACAGGAGTTTAGAGCGGCAGACGTAGACGTAGATTAGATTAGGTTACTATTAGCAAAAGGAAAATTGAACTGGTTCACACCGGAGACGTATGAGTTTACAAACAAATTAATAATGACTATTAGGAATACCTACTAGGAAATTTGGGTTGCATCGCCTGGAACGGCTAGAATGCATAATTTGCCTTTCGTATCTATGCTTTCTGTTTATCGTTAATGTACATTGAAATCTTTGTACTATTCTATGACTAATTCAATTTATCGCTTTCTACCCTCCGTCTTCGCCGTAAGCAGATTAAAATATAACGAAGACACAGATGAGACTTGCCAAAGATTTAATTTAATAATAATTGTCGTAAGGTCTAGACTGTAAAATGTATTCTGATACACTATATAGATATGTTTGCTATACTCTCTGGGTCTTTTATAGCACATCGTCATGTGCCTGTAAGGTCACTTACGTTTCCAAGTTGAGCTTATCTTCACATTTCCCTAAAGCCAGGGATATTTATGAACATTAATCTAATTTAGGTCCACGTCTTCCACTCTTCACTCTTGTTTTACCTTCTAATACTAATTATTTATATCTGACGTGTCCTACCAACCTATCTCGCCTATTTCTAATCGACTTAGATAGCGCCCTCTGTCCTACCACTCTTTCTGATACCTAAAAGATAGCTGAACGATTAAGGTGACTGCAGACTATGCTTAACGAGAGATCGAAATTGTTCTTCATCATTTTCTCCGATCTCTAGTTGATACAGTTTTTAGTGATTGCGTCTATCTTGAAGTTAGAGGTAAAGTTGCTACATCAGCAGCTGCATGAGCGCAGGTGTTAGAGCACGGTAGGTGGCGTTTTGTGAGAAACTGACATTAATATAAACCGAACAGTTCGGGTCGTAAATTAAACTTCGAATTGCCGAATCCCATCCCTGTGTGAACACTCGCTACATTGAAGAAATTTACTCTAGCACACTAAGCCCAATAAATTATTACAAGTTTCGACTTTAAACTACTTCCAATATTGATCTTTGTGGAAATTGGAACGTTCCGTTCGCCAGATAAATTATTTCCCGTGTGCATCGTCAAACTTTTTAATGCGTCAATGCGATACCGTTCTGTCTTGAAAATTACCGATGAAATGTGTATTTTTACAACCGCATTTAAATTTTTAACAGCCATGTCACCTTAAAGACAATTTTATATTTCATTTTTCACCTTGTACTAAAGTAAAATTAGACCATTACTTTCATAAAACTGGATTTCTGTTTGAAATTTAGACAATTTCTAAATTCGACAAATGCTGATGCTATTACTTCATTTTGACATATGGTGTTCATATATTAATGGTACGTACATGGTACTTTATTTGTGATTTGGTCTTAATCAATACAAATTAATATAAATTTAAGTGCAAGTGCCGGAAATGATTGTAATAACCTACTATATCTATTACGTTTCTATTGATTATCTCAAGTAATAATTCATGCGCCGCCGCTGCTTTACCTGAACGATTCACCAGCTTTTCTAAAGCAAATTTACTACATGTCAGTAATATTTTGTCGACTCCCGTGGACGACACCTTCAGGAGTTCTTGTTCCTGGCGAAAATAAAGCTCTAGAGTCTAGAGTCATTCTTTATATTCTACGATAACCGCGAATGATCAAATTATGAACCTCATAACTATTTTATAATATTTTTGCTCATTATATTTTTGTAAAACTTAAACGTTTTTGTATATTAATTTTTTTCAATACAATATACTTGTTTCTAACATATTTTATCATAATAATTTAATGAAATATTCATAAATCGGTATAAATTAAATTACTTTTATAAATTTTATTATACAATAGATACACAAATAAAGTGGAAAATTGGTTGAAAAATGTGTTTATTATACAAAGTTTTACAAACAAATATTAACAATAATAGAATATGAAAAAATCTTGACTAATACAGCACATAGTACATAATAAGCTTGCATCCTAATATAGGTACATTTTTTTTTTAGTAAACTTGTTTTAAACAATCTACAAACTAGTTAAAAAAAGCCGTTTGTTTTATGTGTACAATTGTCGTTATATTTAGTAGGTGTTTCAATGACCCTATTATTATATTTCGAAAATGTTCAATACACTAAAGGCACATTGAATTGATACAGTACAAATAATTGAAATTCAATAAAAAAAAATATGTATCTAAATATTTTACGTACATAAACAGAGATATTCGTAATTCAAATGCAACAACTGACAGATTTTACTTGAATTTAGTTTTACCGTACATATTTATAAGTTTTAATAAAAAAATAGGATTTTAAACATTGCACTTAGCCTAAGTATTAGGTATAATTTATTGAACACTCTTGTTTTGTATATATGTTTAAGAAATCTCATAAACAATCAAGTTAATAAATAGCAATCAGCTTAATTATGAAAAAAAATAGTCTAATAATTACAAAAACTCTTACTGTTTTGTTTTCAGTAGGTATAGGTGTGTTAATTTTAGAATAATTAGGCATCTTTAGGTTTAGTTATTATTATTTTTAAATATTGTTCTTCCTAGAATGCACGAAAAAAATAACGTAGTTATTAATATTTCTTAGCCAACTACATTTATCAACATTGTAGGTACATGCAACAATTTGCAACAAATATTAGAAATTACACTTTATTACTATATTTTAAACCTTTTATATGAAATCTAGTAGGCAACAGCGAGTTAAAATCGACAATTTCCATAATGCGCTTAAGTACTTATCTATATAGAACTTTTCACAGATCTAGATCACTGCGTCACGTAAACAAACTACGAGACAAAAATGCATTGTTGGTATCTTGTTTCACTCAATAAAATTACAATGAATGTCATAGTGTTGGTAGTCTGTCAAGCTCGGGCCTTTGCGCAGTAATTGACTGCGCAACTATAAGGCGTCAGACACATGCTAACGGCGGCGCACAAAAAAAAATTTTAACTTCTGCACAGAAGTCTGGAATCGAAGACTTTCCACTCCAAGTTTCGATTTTCTATTAACCCCCTCCACTCGAGATGGCTTCTAGTTTTGTTCCATTAGCTGCCAACAAAATAGTGTGATAGTGTAACGAAAATTTGGTACCACTGTGTTGGTAGCGTATATTATTATCTACTGATTAGTCAGTGACCTTTTTGATCTGTGAAAAGTCCTATTGTTATGAGAGATCGTACAAATAAATAATTCCGTATCTTTAAAAGTGTTTCGTAGCCTAATATAATAATTTCATACAACTTAGCTAGTATCACATGCTAGATAACAATTATTGTCATATTAATAATAATAATAATAATTAGATGACATTGTTCTAATGCAGGTCAGGGTCGTAACCCAAATTTTTCCGTTGTAAAAATAAATGTATTTCTTGGAATGTTGGCCGATCCGAATCGTTTCGATTCCAGCATTCGCACATTAAGTCGTAGATTTCCTTGGATGACCCCCGCGGGGGCGGAAGTAAATTCTATACAAAAATTTATAGTCGGTAGATATCCATAACAATAAAAGTGGAAAATAAAATATTTTGTTTTATAAAATGGCAATACTAAAAGTTTATTTATCCTTTTCAAACGTGAAAATGTACACCTTCGAGTTCGACATTGAACATATTGTTGGATACCCGGATCCTGGAGGCATCAATTTAGCCATTCTAATCAAAGGGAAAATTAATTATATGTGTACAGGTTCGTTAGTATACAAACACCTTCCCGTTATATTGAACAGGAACTTCATAGCATTGTATGTATGTAGCAGGTGCTACGGGTGTAGCATACGTATATGTATATATGTGTGTATGGATGCAGTAATAAATCATCTTGTTGACCTGAAACTTTAGGGATCGGTGGTTCACCGCAACTGTTACCTAAATTATCCACAATAAAAGATTCCGGAAGACTTTTCCGCCAAGAAAAGCTCCTATTGGTAGGTACATTTTTCTTATTATCAAGACGACTGAGTTTGAAAGGTAATTATTCATCTAATTTAGGAAAAAGGGAGAGCAAAGTGAGTTACTGTATTTCAAATTTAAAGGTCATTTTTTATTTAAACGATCGATAAGAATGAAAAATCTTTTATGAATACAGTTTCGGAAAATCCGAAGCTAAAAGTTGAAATACACACTTAGCCGATTATTTGTTATAAGAAGTTAATTATTTCAGTATTTTAGAATTATTAACTACTTTTTATCCATTTTCGAAGGATAAAAAACACATTTTTTAATATATGATCTTTGATGTACGTTCTACGTGATGTTCCATCTTTAGATAATTCTGTGAAGATTAACAAATAGGTATTAAAAGTTCTTGACAAATCTGTCGAAATTAGAAAATAAATGATCAGAGATTTTCAACAGCTTCTAAAGGTCATCCTTGAAAATTTCTCGGGATCTGTTAATTCTTCTTGGGCTGGTGTTAGAGCTGGGAGATTACTGAATCTAATAATCGATTTTATCAAGTGTTAGAAAATAATCGATTATTTTATTTAATCTCGATAATCGATTATTTAAATTAATTGGAGATATCGACTAATAGGGAATAGGAAAACAATCACTTCTGTGTGAGGTTGTCCGCAAAGCTGTTCAAGAATTATCATTTCTTCATTAATCGATTAATATAGTAAAAGTAATTAAGGATAATTTGTCCAGCCCTGGTTGGCATTTATTTTTGTAGATCTTAGGACACCCTGTAGAATGATTTCAAACCTTTTTGAACCCACGACGAAGTTACTTCAAAATAGTAAGGACAACAAGCCCAAGTCGAAATAAACAATTTAATTTTCATGAAAATTTAATAAGTCGTAAATATATTTATTCACGAAGAAGAGCGAGTTTGGAATTTGTTTAAGGAGACGAGGGAGACACGTTTGATTCCGGACTTTAATAATAAAGGATTTGTTGTTTTTCACTTACGTATTTTCCGTTGTCCCGGTAATAACAGGTGGCAATCCCAATAATCCTTTCGTCGCTGAATTCTTCGAACGGTTGCTCTCGCGCGAAAGTAAGAATTTCCCAGAGGGTTACAGCGAAGGACCAGACGTCGCTCTTTGTCGTAAACTTACCCTTAAAGAAACGAACACATACATTGACAATATAAGGAAATCTAAAACAAAGCTTATTCGTAAAATTTACGAGGGTGGATTGATAAGTTTCCGGCCTAACCAAGAGATGACGCCACTAGGCCTACCTTGAGGTGACATTCTATAGTACCATCCTTGGATAGCTTGTAGCTATAGTTTCAGCCCGATCTCCTTGCTAGTGTAGGTTTGACAGCACGCTGAACAAGACGCCTCTGTGGTTTTCGTAAAAATGGAAAAGCAGGAAAATCGT